ATCTTAGCGCTGCACAAAGAGTTGCCTTGACGTGTGACATGTTTTGCAGACGAGGGCAATGCATGAGAGCCACACCGGCAGTAACATTGCTGATTTGCTGAAAAGGGCAATGGAGGAATGGGGCATACAGGAAGGACCCAGCCATAGTCACAGACAACACTGAAAACATGACCAGCGCAGCAGAGCTAGCCGCTATGCTGCATTTGAAACGCCTCGCGCACACCCTAAATTTGGCTTCTCAGCGTGCACTAAAGTTGCCAGCTGTCCAGCGCTTGTTGGGAAGAGGATTACCAACTTTTTCAGACGCAGCGCCATCGCCAGTCATGTCTTGAAAGAAAAACAGAAGTTACTGAATCTGGAACAGCACAAACTCAAGACCGATGTGGTCACCAGATGGAATAGCGCACATGACATGCTCCAGCGCTTCCTGGAGCAGCAGCCAGCAGTCACTGCTGCCCTGCTGTCACATGAGGTGAGGAAGAATGAAAAAGATATCAGCACTGTCAGTGGGGCCGACATTACAGCTGCAGAAGAAATAGTCGCTGCTATGAAGCCCATGAAGATTGCCACTGTGGTCATGAAAACTCCCACACTGTCAGCAGTTGCACCAGTCCATGCCCACCTGATCACGAGCTCCAGGAGAGCCCAGGTGACTCGAACATGATAAGAGATCAAAACTGCCATATGCCAGGACCTGAAGAAGAGGTACTTAGATGAGCAGAGGGAGACTCTTCATGTGTGTGCAGCTCTGGATCCCCGATTTAAGACCTTGCCGTTCTTGACTGAGGATGAACGCCAGACCATCTATGATAGAGTCACTACAGCGGCTGCAAGGACCCAGTTTCAGGTGAGCTCGACTGCTATTTTTCAGTCAATACAAATATTGCATAAATATTTTAAAAAGCATAAATACTAAAAGTTTAAAATACATAAACACTGGTGAATGTTAGTTTATATTACATGAACAACAGGTTATGTCAGCATTTCAATGTAATTTAATTTACTTAATTTCATGTGAAGCTGTTTTTCAGCATGGAGCAGCTGGAGAGGATGTGACAGATGAGCCAGAGACTCAGGCTGATGGAGAAGAGGAGGAAGATGAGGATGCAGGGCTGGAGGTTCTAGGTGAGGAGGACAAAGGGAGCAGCCAAGGTCCCGAGGAAGAGGAGAGCTTTACAGCACTGTCCACGTCTAAGAAGAGATCCAGGGATTCTTGTGGCACTATAGGAAAGACCCCTTAATGTCAACAGTGAGTTTTAGTTCTTATCCCTGCAGTTGAATACTTGAGCCTCACTGTGCTGAATGTTTGTTCAGAAAGTGTAAAGTAAAGTTGTAAAGTTTATTTCCTCTCATTTAAAAAACCACATTCCTCAGAGCAAGTGTAATGTACATTACTCGGTGCTTAAAGTTTCATATCACACTTGTGTTAGTTTGATATTTGTCCAATATTCAAGTTACATATGCACAAATCATCTTCTAAGGAGTCTGGATTTAATCTGTAACCAAACTGCACACACTTTCTTCTGCACCATGAAGCTCCAACATTACACTGTAGCGACAAAAGGACTTTGGGTGGTCTTAAAGAAATCGCTAATTTTTGTGATCACTGTTCCAGGGGCTGCAAAGAAGTTGAAGACGCCAGAGAAGCAGGCACAAGAGGAGATGGGAAGATTCAAAGAGACTGCTCCGATGCCAATTACAAAAGGGGCCAATCCACTGAACTGGTGGAGGGAGCGTGAGTGCCAGTATCCTGTCAAAACCTGCAGAGAGGTATTTGTGCATCCCTGGAACAAGTGTCTCCTCTGAGTTCTCTACTGCGGGGGCATCCTCACCGCACAGAGGAGAGCACTCACCCCAGAGCACCGTGACCACATTCTCTTTCTAAACAAAAACCTGAAGACAAAAGAAGTCAGGTACAAGTTTTAGGCCCATCCATGTGTTTGAATTAAGGTTTACTACTGTATTTATTTTGTTTACAAGAAGACTGTGTGCACTTTATTTTCCTCATACTTTTCAGCTCAGTGTGTTCAGTGACAAGCATGTATGTAATATGTATGCACATTTTATTTTCATATGACCTGTTCAGTGTTCAAACAGTGACACAATAGGAGAAACATTATTATTATTATTATTATTATTATTATTTATTATTTTTGTGCATTGTCACTCAGGGTACTTTATCCTTTTTCATTTTATTTTCAATATTTATTTCAGTGAATTTCATGGTAATTAATAAAATGGAGAGGCTGTTTTGAATGAAATAGTGTTGTACTTGTTTTCATCTCTATTTACATCGCAATAACGCGATATCGTGACACGTATCGTGATAAGTATCGTATCGTGAGGTTCTTGCCAATACTCACCCCTATATATTAATGTATATATTACAGTATATTAGTGTATATATTAGATATATTAGTGTATATTAGTGTATATATTAAAGTGTATATTAGTGTATATATTAGTGGTATATTACTGTATATATTAGTGTATTTACTGTATATATAGTGTATATTAATGTATATATTAGTGTATATTAAATGGTATATATTAGTGTATATTAGTGTATATATTACAGTATATTAATGTATATATTACAGTATATTACTGTATATATTACAGTATATTACTGTATATATTACAGTATATTACTGTATATATTACAGTATATTAGTGTATTATTACAGTATATTAGTTATATATTTACAGTATATTAGTGTATATATTACAGTATATTACTGTATATATTACAGTATATTAGTGTATATATATATATTAGTGTATATATTACTGTATATATTAGTGTATATATTACAGTATATATTAGTGTATACTACAGTGATTAACTATTACTGTATAAATTACTGTATTATATTAATTATATTACAGTAATATATTACAGTAATATATATTAATATACTGTGTATCGTGTTGTAACTGACCGTCTGTTTGAAGCCCACTGCAGTGTGTTGAGGAGCTTTCCTCAGGAGCGTTGGTCAGAGTCCTACGAGCCTCCGAGTACTCCAGCTGGATGGCCTTAATACGACCTGCAGGGGTAAACACAGGGCGGGTAAACACAGGGCGGGGGTAAACACAGGGCGGGGGTAAACACAGG